GACACTCTCTTTGTTTTTAAGCCTGCAGACTACCTCCTCTTTAAAATGCACATTACGTACAACTCAATAGTATGGAATGTATTATTTTTAACGAGGACTTATTTTAACTTGGACCTAAAACTACTAACATTTGACAGAGAGGGTTTTTTTTAAAACATTTGCAGAATCAGCTGAATGATCGTCTGTAGCCCGTGTTTTGCAAGACAGGCTACAAAATCGTCATGCTTTTTTTCTGACCTTAAAAATCCAGGAACACGAATGTATGAATCACTTGAAAAATGAACCCCCACGTGCGTACACCCCCCCAAAACCTATAAGGAGTTTAAAAAAAATCTTGCCGTTTTTGTTTCTTGGTCTTTAGAAAGGGGGAATATTGAGGCTGGGAGAAAGCGATTGAATTTGTGCCTGCAGTAGCTGGGGCACGTGAGCGTTTCATGCCGCTCTTCCGCCCTTCCGAGAGCAACACGGACGTGAGCAACTCCTGTAACAGCCCTGCTCAGAATTCAGCCGCGCTAAAATTCCCTGCGAATGGCACAGAGCGATTTGAAATCCTCACCATATTCCTACCAGATAGAACAGTGGCACGATTGACCAAGCTTTTTTTCTTCTTCTTCTTTTTTAAAGTACACATATGATGATGCATCATAGTTATAAACAGATGGTATTTGGCCTCCTTCCTATTCTCAACATTTGGAATTCCTAAACTATGTGAATTAAACAATAATATTTTATAAACATACAAGGGATTTTGCTCACTGCTTTGTTAACATAGAAATTATACAATGCTGACATTTATTTAAATTTTAAAAAGTAAACAAGAGTGTGTATTGAATTAAAGCAAACTAAAATCAACAGAAAGAAATATGTTCTGCGCGCACATTACCTACAACTGCGCGGGCCTTTTTAGGGGAGACGTAATGGGATGAGGCACAAATTGTAGCTTAGACAGTCTGATCCTTTGTGCCCGAAAGGCTCATTTAACACCTCGCGGTAAACAACGGCTATTTATACCATAATTGGCCGGTTGACCATCAGTTGTTCATTTACGATGTAACCTGCTAGGATGGAGTTAAAAGAAGTTCCTTTCTGTTGGCTTTTCTAGGAGTGAAAGTGTGTTTGCAATTTTAGTACCAACTGGATTCAGTCTAACACTTGTACTTAGTATGAGAAACATTTTCATAATAGCAAAATTTGGGAGAATAGGAGTATTCCTGCCAGGAAGGGAAGAAGAAAGTATTGGTTCTTAAAAGAAGAATTCTGTTTGCTCGGTTTCCTCTTTCCTTTCCATTTTAACCCCTTTTTAGGCGCCTCTCTCGCTGGGCAAAATCGAGACGCACTTAGGTTTTAATCACTATTCCCAGGACTGCAAAGAGGTTCTGTGATGAATAAATAATGAATCGGAGATTTTAATCAGTGTTATGATTTTTGAAAAGGCTAATTATCATTGTTTACAGACATGCCTTTCCGATGCATTTCCCCCTTTCGCCTTCAAAGCTCTAAGGGTTAAGCCCCTAGCATGCATCCCTCCCGCTCCTCCTCAGCGCCGCGGTTGCTTTCGGGCTTTGGGGGTATTGTTTGTTTGTTTGGGTTTTGGAGGTTTTGGGGTTTTTTTGGGACACCCAACCCGTTGGAGAGATGGAGCCGGGCAGCCGGAGGGGCGCGGGGCCGGGGGAAGGCTGCCGGCCCCAGGCAGCCGCTC